AAATTTTAGTTTTTCGATTAAATAAACATTCGAACTTTTATTTTTTCGATTAAATAAACATTCGAAATTTTAGTTTTTCGATTAAATAAACATTCGAAATTTTAGTTTTTCAATTAAATAAACATTCGAAATTTTAGTTTTTCGATTAAATAAACATTTGAAGTTTTGGTTTTTCGACCAAATAAACATTCGAACTTTTAGTTTTTCGATTAAATAGAAATTCGAACTTTTAGTTTTTCGATTAAATAAACATTCGAACTTTTAGTTTTTCGACCAAATAAACATTCGAGCATTTAGTTTTTCGATTAAATAAGCATTCGAACTTTTAGTTTTTCGATTAAATGAACATTCGAAATCTTAGTTTTTCGATTAAATAAACATTCGAACTTTTATTTTTTCGATTAAATAAACATTCGAACTTTTAGTTTTTCGATTAAATAGAAATTCGAAATTTTAGTTTTTCGATTAAATAAACATTCGAATTTTTATTTTTTCGATTAAATAAATATTCGAAGTTTTGGTTTTTCGACCAAATAAACATTCGAACATTTGGTTTTTCGATATAATAAACATTCGCACTTTTAGTTTTTCGACTAAATAGAAATTCGAATTTTTAGGTTTTCGTTTAATTAAACATTCGAACATTTACTTTTTCTATTAAATAAACATTCGAACATTTAATTTTTCGATTAAATAAACATTGGATAATTTAAGTTTTCGCGGTTATGTCTATTCGACTTTTTGATATTCGATTTATTGGGTTTTCGATATTTTGGGTTTTGGGGAAAAATCATGCACCCGAATTATTTTCTAATTTTGTTTATAGAAATGTTTTAAAATTAATTTATATTATGAAGTTTTAATTAACAAATCATATAATAAATATTAAGTAACTATATACAAAGTTATTCGTGTTACATTGAATGAAATCATTTTCAAATTTTCCCGCGCAATCTGCTTGGTATGCGCATCAAGCGTGGAAGATTTTTGTTTCCTGTATTTAGATGGTCGTTTAGGTTAGTGGTTAGGTTCTCGATTTCTGTTCTGCAAACTAGGGTTCAATTCCCACTTCCCCCAAATTTTATTTTAAAAAAACATTTGTTTCGCAATAAATTGTTGTTAGAAATCTAAACTTAATTCAGGTAGTAATAAATTAAATAGATAAGAGCAAGTTGTAAAATAATTTTTTAAAATTATTTTTTCATTGAAATTAATAATGGTGTTTATTATTAGGTAATAATTAATTTTGTCAACAAAAAAATAATTATAATAAATTCATTATTATTATTATTATTATTATTATTATTATTATTGTTAATGGGTTAATAAGTAATAAATACATATTAATTTTCCAAGTGTAAAATTTTATAATTATATAATAGCATATATTATATTCTTTAACTTAATCAATTACGTTTCCTGAAAACTTACATTTCTATTTTTGGGGAAAATTGCTTATCATTTTTTAGGGAACTTAGTAGAGCTAGTTTTATGGAAAGTTACACAGAAAACTTTCTTTAAACTTAAATTTCTATTTTTCACAAAATATACATTGCAATTTTTCAGCAAATTTATATCGATAATTTCCAGGAAGCTAACACCGTTAAGTTTAAACCGGAGGACATTTAAAAGTTCAGGGAACTTAGCAGGAACTTAACCGCGTTAAGTTCGGAACTTAACGCGGATAGTTTCCTGCTAAGTTCCTACAAAGTATTGTGCTATCTGGGTACCGGGTAACAACCTTTTTGCGTAACTATTTTCTTTCTACCCAAGTATAATCGGTTTTTCTTGTTTCGCACCCTTTGACCGTGTCATCCACACCGTGACCGGTATCACCTGAAAGGGAAATTTTAGAGTCCTTATAAGGCTAGATTGGGAAATTAGATAGTAAGGCAACCTTATAGGGACCTTACAGAAGCCGTAATATTAATAAGGCAATTTACAGCAGTTTCTACACGGGTTTAATTTCAATCGGATATGGCTAAGATTTTAAGTTAGACTATAATACATAAGAGACTGTAAAGTTTCGTTTTAATCGGTCAAGTAGTCTTTGTGTTTATCCCGGATAAAATATTGCGCACAGACATACGAACATCATTTTTTTATTGGCACTTTTGGAATTCTTACTACTCGAAAAGAAAAACTAAACGTGAATTATTTCAAATTCTAAACACAAAAGTCTGATTTTATTTATATAGAAGAAGATTTCTTACATGTTGTGTATTCTTAAAATTTTTTTAAAGTGTGACAGTCGTATCGTATGCAATACAAAATAGAGAAAAGGAGTAAATAATAGGGGTAAAGGGGAATACTGATATATTAGAAGAAAAGGGTAATTTTTTAAAATAGAGGGAAATATAGGGGTATCACTGTATAAAAATATAGGAAATATAGGAAATATAGGGGTATCAGCCTGGTCATATTTTATTCCAGAAATTTGACAATCTACACTGCAAAAACTAGCGTCTTCGAAACGTCTTATTTTAAGACATTAGTCGTTTTGAAAACGTCTAGTCTGGAATAAATGACTAATTCATCTGTCTTTCATGCAAAGTGTCTAAAAATTTGAGACACTTCTTGCGTCTTACAAATGTAAACAAGTCACTTTCAGTGCTTATACACTGCAAAAATAAGTGTCTTATTTGATATCTTAAAATAAGATGTAAGATGGAAAAATGGTATCTTACATCTTAAAATAAGATGTTTTCTAAAGTATCTTACTGATTTTTAAGATGTTTTATACGTCTTAGATATTTCTTCTATCTTAAAAAAGTAAGATACTTCTGTAAGTTTTTTAAAGTATCTTAAATTAAGATGTTTCTGTCTCAATAAGATGTTTAGCGATAAGATACTTGTGAATTGTAAGATGCGAAAAAAATTTAAGTTACTAAAAACTAAGATACATAAAATGTCTTACATATAAGCCCATAGTTAACCTCAAAACTTTTTTCCCGAAAAATATGCTGAAAATATGTACGAAGATGCTTTTAGTATCTTAAATTAAGATATTTTAAATGACTAAAAAGTGACTACAATAACATCTTAGAAATGACTACCAAAACATCTTAAATAAGATACTTCTTTTTGCAGTGTAATTTAAGACATATAATGTAGACGGTAAAAGTGTCTACATTTAAGTCATTTTTGCTAATTTAAGACGTTTTCGAAGTAAGACACTTTGAATAAAAGACATTTTGTGTATTCGAGTATCTTCGGTAATATTCGTCTTGCCTCGTCTCTATGAAAGTTTCCCGCGCAATATCAATGCATACATGCATTTTTAGGTTATGTATCGATTCAAGCAGAAATTTCATCTGAATGAAGACACTTTAAACGTCTCCAAAATAGTCACTTTTAACGTCTTCCTGAAAGACATCCCAAAACGTCTTACAAATGAGGACAAAAGTGTCTCAAATATAGACACCTGTTTTTGCAGTGTATGTCTTTTAATAAGTTATTTCATTATTTCCTTGATTATTTACAAACGACTATAGTAATTTTTTAACACGATCTTTCTAAGTTTACTACAGTTGTTTGTAAATATTGTACGTAGAAATAAGAAATTCAAATTAAAAAAATTATTTTCGTACATTCTTAACCCCTTCACTGTCAGTGGGCTCTATAGAGCCATAAAAATGTCGGGCCCTGTATGTCCATGGGCTCTATAGGGCCATAAAAAAAAGACATTTAAAAGTTAACGAATCTGGCTAAAAATCCTTACTCGGGGGTTTTCGGGGTCGCTGAATCCAAATCCGTTGTCAAAAATTCAAAATTCAAAATGGCGCCCAAAAAAATTTTTAAGTTAACGGATCTGTCTGAAAATGCTTTAAAATGCCTACACAGAGAAAAACTGAACTCAAAATGAGTCGTAAAAGTGACTCATTATGAGCTGCAACAAAAATGAACCTCGCAGATGGCGCCACGTTCTATGTCATTTAACATAGACTCATTTTGAGTTGCAACAAAAATGAGTCCGAGTTTTTTCTGTGATACTCGGGGGTTTTCGAGGTCGCTGATTCCAAATCTGTGGTCAAAAATTTAAAATTTAAAATGGCAGCTTTAAAAAGGCGACAAAAAAAAATTTTTAAGTTAACGAATTCGTTAACTTTTCAATTTTTTTGGTCAATATTTTGAAGCCACCATTTTGAATTTTGACTTTTCGATCACGGATTTTGAATCAGTGACCTCAAAAACATATAATATGACAATATCATGATTTAAAAAAAAATTTTTTTTGAACACTTATGGCACAAAAACTTTATTTTCACTAGCTCCTCCGACGGCCGCAAGCGGCCGTCTACGGTGCTAGTTTTAATATGTCCATTGTCCGAGTCCATTATTTCATTAATAATAATATTCAAATTTTTTCAGTTAATAATTTGCTTATTTATATTTGAAATGTTGACGTTTTTTTTGACAATGCAAAATAAGATTTATTATGAGTACTTTCTCTTAACAAAAATAAAATTTATATATTCGCGCTCTTTTTAAATAACATACGACTGCAGCGCCACCTTCACATGTACAAACAATTTTAAAAACACCCTTCTATTAAGATTTTACATTCTCATTGCCCATTCTTTACTTCGATACTTTTCGATACATTCGACCTTTCCACTCCATGTCTTTTTTAAGAAAGGACTCGACTGTGAAGGGGTTAAAAATATTTTAAGACTTAGATAGGAAAAAGATTACAATGTATAAAAGAAATGTTATTTTGTCAGGATTAGTAGTCATGTTTCTTAGCAGTTAGAATTTTCTTTACAATTTAAAGTTAAACAATATGATAAGGTAGTCTTCCTATCTTATCATCGAGAAATTTAAAATTCTTCTTATTTATTTGACATATTTTTCGAATTTTAACTTACTAGTCTTAATTATGTTTTTGATAAATTGGATTTATAGAATTAAACCTTAAAAACTTCAAAAGTATTTCTAAACAAACCCTAAACTTGCAAAAATAATATAAAATAAATGTTGACAATATCGCTGCATTCTACGTACAATTTATTAAATTAAAATAATCATTATTTTTTACTTCTAAATTAAATAAGTCGCATTTAAAAAGTTTTTTCCTTATGTGGTAAATGAAAATAATAAACTTCAGTATGAAGGATATTGATTGGGGATAGCAAAAATGGCGCCTGACAGGGTGAACGTACTCGGATTTGTTCTGGTCGCTCTACAATTTTGTAACTTACAAGAAGCAAAAACATTTATATTCCCTGAATATCCATATAAGGAAACGTCTAAAAATGTAAGTTTTAAAAATAATTTAAATTTAGTTTTATTTTTGCTATTTTGACTTCATCTTTTAAAATTTACATGTTTACTATACCATTTCAAAACATATCCAATTGTATATTTTTTATTTACTGAAAATAAGATTATCTTTACTTTTGGGAAATTAGTCTTATCAATTATAGCAATTCATTTATTTCTTCTATTAAGTTATTGTAAGATTTTTATTTTCATCGTAAATCTTTTAAAGAAATTTTTATTTAATAAATTAATATTACCTAATTTTCAAAAAAAAATTAATTTAATTGATTGCTTATTCATTTATCTTATTTTTTTATTTTCAATTGAAGTTTTTATCACAAACAAAATTAAAATTTTTTTACTGTTATTTGTTTAGAAAAATCTTACTCGGTCTTTCTCTTCTTCTTAATATACTATAAAAATCAAAATTTGTGTGTGCTACAAATCAGCCTGCGAAACACAAGATTTTGTAGAAGACAGCACAATTTCTCCGTTTTATCTATTAACCAATTTGACGTTGTAGGTTAAACAGAACATTTTTTCCGTGTAATTACTAGAAATAACAATACAAATTTGCCCGAATTTCAAAGATATAATTTTGAACATAAAAATTGTGCTTAAAAATTAAAATAAACTACTATGTCCATTTTTTATGTGATCATCAATATTGTTTTGTATATATATATTGAATTTTCAAAAAATAATGTGAAATTTGAAACCAGCATCCCAAAAAACATGTGTCAGGCCGATAGACTATTCAGGCAATTAGCTACAAGCCTAAGCATTTAGCTAATGGCCGGCCTTTAACGACTTATTCTTTTAATGGCCTAAATTCATCTACTGGTCGGCCATTAGCAAATCGTCTAGGCTAATTGTCTATCGGCCTATGACATATACACAAAGTTTGTTTGTAATCGTTTCATTTTTCGAATTTTAAATAGGTTTTTTAAAAAATGGACTGCCTTTTTGAGTCCGCTATATTGGTTTTTGTTTCGTTGCAATAGTTTCTTTTTCGAATTTTGACTAAGTTTTTCGTTAAATTGGCCACTGTGCAAAGGAATATTTATTTTAGCAAAAAGTGATGTGTTTTTGTTAACACACAGTAAAGAGGTAAATCTTAATTTAAAATTAGTCTTAAATTCAGCGCTGCCTGCTTCATTGTGAAATTAACCAAAACCCATTGCGTAAGTTCAGCATTTGCTGTTTGAAAAACGTTGCATCTGAATTTAAGACTACCTTGCTGTGTTTACTTGACATAATTTACTTGAATCAATCCCGTATATATTTGAAGAGAGAAATTTATTTTTTTGTGCCAAGTAGTTAGGGGTCTTCACAAACTATGTCACGCTTTTTCAGACTGATTTTTACCCCCTCCCCCCTTCGTCACATTTTCTACATACAACAAAAATTTTTTTCCACACTTCGTCACACACAGCTTGACACCCCCCCCCACCCCTAGGAGTGTAACGTATAGTTTATGAACGACCCCTTATTATAGCATTGAACGGAGTTCTTGAATTATAATAATGCATTATTTGGCGGAAGTAAATATGTTATTGTTTCAACCAAATATTTTATTTATCTGAAGTATCAAAAAGTATTCAATCAAGAACATTATGTTCTTAAGCAAAATAATAAAATATTATCTGGAGAATTTTTGTTTCTTGAATTAAATCGTTTTATTCATTCGTTACGAAACTTTTTTTGCTTAAGACAATGCCGGTGTTCTTGATCCAAGAAAATATTTCTCTTCAAATGGTTATCAAACTAAAATAGGAGTTTCCAGATTATTTCAGTGGTACTCCCATTAATTTATGATTTTGGTTTCTGTTATTATTTAAGTAACATATGTTGTAATTGGTTACTTCGGTAAGCTCTTAATTTTCATTGGTTCAAAAAATTGTAAACAATGAAAATTAAGAACTTACGGAAGTAACTAATTACAACACGTCATTGAAATAATAACAGAAACCACGTTGAAAAATTAAAGTGAGCACCACTGAAGTAATCTGGAGCATAACCCAACCAAGTACTAACCGTACTCAAGGGTGCTTAAGGGGCCGTTCATAAACTACGTCACGCCTGTGAGGGAGGGGTGGAATTCATTTTTTGTGACGTTCTGTAGAAAAAATGGCGCTAAAGCATGTAAAATTTGTGACGTGGGTAGGGGGGATGGAAAAATTATGCAAAATAGTGTGACGTAGTTTATGAACGGCCCCTAACGTCGATGATCGAAAGCCGCGGAGCCTCATATTTACCATCGGTAATTTAATGCACGTAAGTAGGAAATATTTATTAAAACATTTAAAACTAATAATTTGTTTATCTTTATTTTTGTCTTCAGGAGCTGTTATTCAGAGAATTTGAGCAGGCTTGTGAGGAAAGTGGAGCTTGCAAAGGAGTTTCACAACAAAGGAGTGCAGTATCAAAAATACGTTGTATTCGAGAATGTGTATCACCTTCATGTTATAAAGAAATTTATTTGTTCGATCAAGTAAATATTAAAACCATTTTTTTTTTATTTTGTACAATTTAAAAGTAAAATTGTTACTCTTTTTAAACTAAACAATTTTTCCAGTTAGAAGAAGGAGAGATAGATGTTAGACTGAATTCCTTTAAAGGATGTTTTATGCAACGGAGTGGTCGTCCTCGTAAAAAATAACGAATTTTATAAAAACTACATTTGTTGAAACGTGCACAAGAAAATTGTCCAATTTTTGAAGTAAGACTCAAATTTTTGATCAAGATCAATTTATATAGATGTAGCTATATATAATCTATAATTACAATTTAATGTAAATGAATCAGTCTTAGTATTTTTCATACTTTGAATAAAGAATTTTAAAATCAATAATGTTAATAATAATAGAATAAAAATATTTTAGAACAAAATTGATTACAATACTTTGAATCTTATTCTATTTGGTGTTATTTAATTTCTCTCCATAATGATGTACCTAAAAAAAATTTTAATTATAAAATTGAATAATAAATATACCCACAAAGCACAGACATTTTCTGCAAGTTTGCTGCAAGTTTTCCATGCAAATTTCGCAAGTTTGCATTGCAAGTTTGCAGCAAACTTGCATAAATATAAAAATGTCACCCACTTGGCAAGGTTGCACTGCAAGTTTGCAGCAAACTTGCGCCAAATAGCAAAAACTTAAATGTATGCGCAGTAGTTTACTATGACATCTAGAGCTGCGCACTATATTTTAGTCACCTTCCCTGCAGGGAAGGCATCGTTCATCAAAATATATGCAATTTGAAAAAAAAATTTTTTTTAAATTTTTTAGGTACAGTGAGTTCTCGCGAGTCGTTCAATTCTCGAAAATTTTCAAGATCATAAAACTCACGAGTCGTTCAACGCATAAGCCACGCCTCCAAGGCGATTTCAGGGATGTGTGAAACATATTTATCGCCCCGAAAGACACAATATTCAATGACTTTGGTCCGTTTAAATTACACAGCACTGAGCACCGGCGCGCGCATGCTAGAAATTGAACGACTCGTGAATCGGACACTGATCAGCTGTTGAACGACTGGCGAGTTTGAACGACTCGTGAGTTGAACGACTCGCGAGAACTCACTGTATTTTAGAAAGTTTGCTGCAAATTTTCCTCAAGTTTTCATTGCAAACTTGCCAAGAGGGTGACATTTTTATTTGTATGCAAGTTTGCTGCAAACTTGGATGCAAACTTGCGAACTTTGCATGGAAAACTTGCAGCAAACTTGCAGAAAAATACTGTGCTTTGTGGGTATAAAATACTTCATGTAGAAACAATATAAATTAATATAATTTAATTTAAAAGTCTTGGGTTTAACACTGCAATACTGATGAAGAAAGTCACTATTTACATTTCAAGTGCAATGCTGATATAATATTAAATGAAATGAGTTTGTATCAGTTCCTTGTATGTATCATATGAACTAAAAGATTTTTTAAAATGTTTATTCTTAGGTAATATGGACTCGCTCTATCGATTAGTGACAGAGGCGTAACTTCCACACGGAAAAAATTAGTCGCTGAAGTTTTCAGCTACTAATTGAAGACTCTCGGATATGAAAAAAACTTTACGGACTTTTTAAAATACTCTTCGCTTTTAGCAGAAATTCTCTGAAAAAAGTTGAGGACTTTTTATAAACCTAGTAGCGGAAAAATAGTCGTAGAATTATTGTAACACTTTGATAGAAATTTTTGTCGACGAGTCGCGGAAAATGATGCGCAGAAAAAATGCGCAAACTCTCAGGCAGTAAACGTCACGTGAAATAATTTTGACTGACTTTGTTTACGTATTTTTTATTTTTATTTATTTTATTTTTATTTATTTTTTTTTTAATTTTGTTTATTTGTTTTTTATTTATTTATTTATTTTTATTTTTTTCTTAGCGATTTCAAATCAATTATTAAATAACAAAATTATAAAAAATAAAACAGTTTGTACAGGTATCACTATTTTTCAATGAGAAAGTGACTATTTCTATTTTCATTGCGGTATCGCGCACCTTTACGATGGAGGAGTTTGAAAATCCGGTAAGAAATTAAAAATAATATGTGACAATTAAATACCAACTTTAAATGAATATTTTGTTTCTTAAAAAAATATAATCACTCTCGAGCTTATTTCATTATAATTTAATTGTAAATAATACTTTTAATACGCACATTATAAATTTATAGAAATTGTAGAATTATATTTTAATATTTATTTACATATTTTATATTCAAAATTTTTAGGATTGTTTATTATGAATTATTATAATTTATTATTGGTTATTATAATAATATATAATATATCAAATCATATTATTCAAAATAATTGAAAACATAATAACATACAATAATATAAAATATAATTATTAATCGTTAAAGAAGTTTTTACAGTAATTAACAGAAAAAAATTTGTTTGGTTTAATTATTATTTTCATTAAATATTATAATTCTTCTATACATGTGATAAATTAAAAATAATAAAATGGAAATAAGTGTAAAATAGTCCTTAACGCATACTGAAATACTCTTTAAAATTCTAGAATATGTTGAGCAGAAATATTTGAGATTTATAATTTTCAAAATATTGCACACGGAAAAAAAAAGTTCACGAATCTCTCGTGAACTAGTGTATCACTTTTGGATGGGACACAAAATTTCAAAATTTTCATTCACTTTTGATTAGAAATGGCGAACGTCAACGAAAAACTGAAACAAAGTTAATGAATTTTTGATGAACTGTTAAGGAAGAGTAGTTCGTCAAAAGTAGAGGTACAAGGGCAGTCATCGATTCGCTCCCGTGAGGGGAAGTGGCATTCTCCCACCATGCGGCCAGGGGCCTGAGCTCGGGGTTCGGAGCGAACGTAGCACAGCGGGGCGCCTGGTCTCTTAATCCCTCATTAAGTCATCCTTCCTTAATGACAGTGTTTAAAAAATATAAATTTCTCAAATATAAACATTTTAAAGTTTTTTTTATTAAATTCAGATCCCTTATTTTATTACGAATCCATACATATGTTGTTTGCCTTAAAAATGTTAATATTTAAAAAAACTTTTAATTTATTATGAACTGACACTCAAATAAATTCATAGTAAATTTGACTTTCAAGTAAATATATATTTTCTCTGGCTGTATAATCTACTTTTTACTTCAGTTGAATTCTGAAAAAACTTAAGAATTACAATCAGTCAGTTAATAATAAATTTTAAACTTTTTAAATACTAAAATTTTTAAGGCAAACTACATATGTATGGATTCGTAATAAAACAAGGAATCTGAATTGAATAAAAAAAATTGAAAAATGTTTATATTTGAGAAATTTATATTTTTTAAACACTGTCATTAAGGAAGGATGGCTTAATGAGGGATTAAGGGACCGGGCGCCCCGCTGTGCTACGTTCGCTCCGAACCCCGAACTCAGGTCCCTGGCCGCATGGTGGGAGAATGCCACTTCCCCTCACGGGAGCGAATCGATGACTGCCCCCGTGCAAAGTAGAAAAAGGGGCAGTCATCGATTCGCTCCCGTGAGGGGAAGTGGCATTCTCCCACCATGCGGCCAGGGACCTGAGTTCGGGGTTCGGAGCGAATCGATGACTGCCCCCGTGCAAAGTAGAAAAAGGGGCAGTCATCGATTCGCTCCCGTGAGGGGAAGTGGCATTCTCCCACCATGCGGCCAGGGACCTGAGTTCGGGGTTCGGAGCGAACGTAGCACAGCGGGGCGCCTGGTCCCTTAATCCCTCATTAAGTCATCCTTCCTTAATGACAGTCTTTAAAAAATATAAATTTCTTAAATATAAACATTTTAAAGTTTTTTATTAAATTCAGATCCCTTATTTTATTACGAATCCATACATATGTTGTTTGCCTTAAAAATGTTAATATTTAAAAAAAATTTTAATTTATTATGAACTGACACTCAAATAAATTCATAGTAAATTTGACTTTTAAGCAAATATACATTTTCTCTGGCTGTATAATCTACTTTTTACTTCAGTTGAATTCTGAAAAAACTTAAGAATTACAATCAGTCAGTTAATAATAAATTTTAAACTTTTTAAATACTAACATTTTTAAGGCAAACAACATATGTATGGATTCGTAATAAAATAAGGGATCTGAATTTAATAAAAAAAACTTTAAAATGTTTATATTTAAGAAATTTATATTTTTTAAAGACTTTCATTAAGGAAGGATGGCTTAATGAGGGATTAAGGGACCGGGCGCCCCGCTGTGCTACGTTCGCTCCGAACCCCGAAGTTAGGTACAAGGCCGCATGGTGGGGAAAGGCCCCTTCCCCTCACGGGAGCGAATTGATAATCGCCCTTGCACGGTCCTGAGTTTTACAGCAGACAAAGCTAATCGTTTCGTTTGTCGAAGGACAGTGTATCTAGATTTAGCCGTGGCGGTTAGTTGTTAGAAATATTATGTTATAGGGTATAGGTACTAGTTTCGAATCCCGTGAAGCGAATTACGAATTTTAATGGCGATAAAATTGTGTATTCTGTGTAGTTGGGTGCGTAATAGGCGTCAAGTTATCAAATAAAGTGAAATACTATAAAAAAGTAGTGTCTGGAAATTATTTTTTCTTGTTTTTAGCATTTTTTAAAAGTTCACGAATTTTTCGTTAACTTTGACGAAAAGTTCGGAAACCGTACTATGTTTTTAGTGAAGGAGTTGATGAAATTTTGACGAACTGTGTTTGTTGATTTTCAAGAATTTTGTGTCCCATCCAAAAGTGATATACTAGTTCACGAGAGATTCGTGAACTTTTTTTTCCGTGCACTTTTTCTCGCAAGCGGTAAAGAAATGTTTTATTTAACCCTTAAACCGCACACTGCCGAATCCATCCTTAAACCGCACACTGGGTGTGCGACACCCGGGGACTTTTAAGTATGTTCTCCAAGCTGGAATAGGATATTATCTTTTGGAAAAATTATCTTATATAGCTCAGTACATCTATTTTGAAGGAAAATAAGTTTCATAATGATTTATTTAATTTTAATAATTAAAAAAGAGTTTTTTAAAACTACTGAAATTACCCTAAACCAAAAACTGGGTGTCAAACAAGCAGAAATTTTTCGCCGACAAATTCATAAAGTTATCAAATACACAAAGACACTTGGGAGACTAATGTCCCTCACGGAACATAAACTTAAGTACAAAATGTATCGTCCAATAACGACACATGTTCAATTTTTACGAATTTAACCGAAATATTAGAGTAAAAAGCTAGAATATGGGTGTCGCACACCCAGGGTGCGGTTTAAGGGTTAATATATAAGGACGATGAAAAAGTAGATTTGTAGCGTGCGAAACTGCGAAAGCATAGGGTAATATGCGTGTAGGGTGCAGTCCCATGCTGAGCAGAAAACAGAATGCAAAGCAGAATTTCGTGAGTGCAAGAGAGATAGTCAGATATCACTATCCTTTCCACTCTCACGAAATTCTGCTTTGCATTGTGTTTTCTGCTCAACATGGGACCGTACCCTTTGTGTTAGTTATTTAGTTTGACGTAGGAAATTAGTGTTTAAATAGTGTTCGATTACATGTGATAAGTGTCGTGATTATGTATAAATGTACGAGCGTAATTAAATATAAGGCATAATAAGAATAAAATAAATAAGAACTGAAAGAATTTTTTTTTTCATTGGTCGGCCGAATTTTTCATTTTCCGCGACTATCGATGAAAGTTTAGAATACTAATATAGAACAAGATTTCCGCGACTGTCGCCAAATCGTTCGCGCGCCGGCTGTGTTTTCATTTTCTGCGACTGACGCTGAAAGTTTCGAATCCTTTTTCTAAATTCTCTTCGAATGTAGTTTATTTTTCCTGCAACCTGTTAATATGATTTTTAAAACTCAGTGATTTTAAAAATTTAAATACTTTCCACTAAATCCGAGAGTCTTTTACAAAGTCGCGGAAAATTTCAGCAACTAATTTTTTCCGTGCATAACAGCAAAACCCTGCATTGCAGGGGGACTCCGGAAAAACTTGACACAATAAAAAATTATTTTTAAAGTAACAAGAGAAAAAATTGGAGAAAAAAGTCAGTAAACTGTAAATTACTTCTTTTGAATTTTCTGCTAAAAATTGTGACATGATTTTCATTTTAAATAATATACTTTACTCTTTCATAGAGTAAAAAATGAAATTTAAATGAGAAAAATTTAATATTAAATGGTCAACACCTTTCTTCATTTTTAACTAAGTGTCAGTGGGGATTATTATTATATAACTGATATGTTTAATTGTACGCTTAAAATAAATTTAGGTTATGTTATCGAAAAGAGAATATGAAAGTGGTGCTGAAAAACGAAAAAAACAAAAAAATTGGAAGAACATAAAAAAGAAAATTGATAAAAATTGACAGTTTTTTTTAGAAAAATGTACATCGCCAGAAAGAGAAACTGTTGAAACTGACAATCCTTTAGACTTGATAACTCGAGAAGAAATGAAATTAATTTCTCAAAATCCACTGAGATTTTGAGATATTTAGAAAAATAAAAAATTTCAATCAAATTCAAATTCAAAATTCAAATCAAATTTTCTATAGAATTACGCTATTTTTTAAAAAAAAGCTTTTTACTATTATAAAGTTCGAGAATTTATATTTCAAAACTGCTAGTAACAAAATCCAATTGAAGGGCTGGCTGCTATAAGGGGACGAACGCGAGACTTGGTTTATTTAAATAGGAGAAATTATATTTATTTAAAAATTGCCTTGAATTGGCAATGAAATGGAATGCCTCAAATATATACTCATATAATTTTATACGCGCATGCATCGATCTTCCCAGCTGTTTAAGCTTAAATTAACCAATAAATAT